GTCGCCCTCCAAATTAAGGTATCATTCACACAAACAACAGATGAAGGGGATGGCCACCAGGCTTCTTCTGATAGTATTCTTCAAGACACAAAGAAGATACCACCTGATTCCGTTCCATGTTTTAGAATGCAAAAATAACAAAACATAGCAAGAGAAAATTACATTCCTGTGTGCAGAAATTAGTAGAAAGATTGTATCTTGGCTTCTTTCCTTTCTTTTTTCTTTAAACAGGATGTTTTTCTGATCTGACTGGCCCTGGTGTAGTGCATGCTGCTCCGGGAACATCAGCACATGTGCAGTGCAGATATGATCAAAAATATGAAGCAAATGCAAAATATTGGTGCAGAATAACTAGCAAAGGCGACTGCCTCTTCCTTGTGAGGACATCAGGGTTAGAATACCCAGTGAAAGTAGACAGAGTTTCCATTAGAGACAATCATACCTTATACCAGTTCACTGTGACAATGGATCGCCTGACCGCCAGCGATGCCGGCACATACCGCTGTGGGGTGCGTGTGAATGGAGGTCCAGATCTGTTGACTCCAATTACTGTGAAAGGTAGGTCAAAAGATGTTGATTGTTCTTCAGCTAACATGAGACTATCAGCCCAGATCTGTGCTGGGGAGAAAAAGAGGTGGCAAATTCCTCCCTTGGCCTAATGGTTGCGGTGTGGAATGACCAAAACATTAGAGGTTGAGAGTGGTAGATGCTGTGGGGAGCATCTGTTTGTCCCAGCATAAATCTTAAGAAGGTGGCCTACCAGCAAAATCTCAAGTGCCTACATCAGTCATTTTGTCTCCCAGTCTTCCTGTTTTTAGCTCATTAATGTATGTCTGCCTTGTGTGTAAGAAGGTGCTCAAAGTGGCTTCCAAATGGTGCATATCCTTCAAGAGGGTGTTTTTAGCTTTTAAATACTGATTTAATGATGTAAGGTGCCTTGGGTCTTTTGGCGAGAAAGGTGGGATAGAAATATTTTAAATAAATAAAATAAATAGCTAAACAGATTTTTTTAAAGGAAGAGTGTCTCTAGATTTATGGACTATTTTGTTCATTGAAACTGATCTACAGGCCCTAATAACAATGCATGGCATGGATTCTGATAAAGCACTTCCCTCGCCAAGTGATCTCTCCTTTTGAGTACAGGGATACCATACAGCCCCTTGTGGCCTGTCAAGATACAGGCCACCACGGAGAGGATCCACTAACCACTAAGTCACACTGCCCTTGTTAGTCCTGGTGTAGGTACTTGCCAAGACAGTCCAGGGTGCTAGTGACTGGGACAAACTTCCTGTGTGCCCCCTCTCCCAAAACAGCCGAGCTTGCTTGCTCCTTTAGTGCTCCAGGGAGAGACAAAACTTTCAGGTTGTTGCTTGTGAATGCAAACCAACCCTGCAAGGTAAGAATGTTAAAAAAATAAAAACCCACTAGGTCCCCAAAACGTATGAGTGCAATGTGCTTTCCTTAGTACCATCAACCCCTTGATCTTTCTGAGTGATTATACAGCTTTAAAAATTATATACTTTTGAAGGTATTCAAAAAGTAAGTTTAAAGTTTCTAAAAGAATCAAAATGATGTGAAGCAGTTCCAGAGAGAAAAAATCAAAACAAAACTCATTCAGAGACGTAGGCTGCAGTTACACTAGAGAAATGCTCCCCTTTTTTCTGGCGTCTTCTGCTTCCTGTATAGCTGTTCATTGTGATCATGTGGCATATATCCTGTGATAGTGGTTCATACATTTTTAAACTGTTCCACCTTTTTAAGGGTAATTTAGATCTGGTACGTCCCTCAAGTGGGACATATCCCCGTACTTTTCTCTGTGTTTAAAGGGACTGTGTGTCCCTTTAAAAAAATTGGGGATGTCAGTAAAGCACCCATTAAAAAATCAGTGTGTCAGTAAAGCACCCATGCTGTGAGAATACATCGGAAGTGCACTGTCTTCTTAGCACCACCTGGCAGAAACATGCTGTGGGTGACAGGCTGAGAAAACCCTCCTCATGTACTTCATGCCATATATAACAGAATGCCAACATCCCTGTTTGAATTTTTTTAAAAAAAATTAAGGAAGTTGAACAACTGTAGGTGGAGGAGGTGTGACCACATGCCAGATGTAAAGGAAATTAATCAATTTAGTAGTACACACTCAATGGGACGTTGGTTGTACTGTGCAATGAAATATGGAAAAAATATAGTACAGTGGTAGTCTTCCAGTGGGTTGGATTGGATTCAGAAATAGCACGGGGGGGGGGCGACAAAAGAATCGGTAACAGTTGTGCGTCTTCTGAACCAAAAAACGGTCAGCATTTGGAATCAGAACATTTGGCCAGTGTGACTGCATCCTTAGGCAGTTAAGAGCAAGACCCACAGAAAATAATGAAATTAGCTACCTAAATCTTATACGCATAAGTTTGTGCCTCCCTCCCTTTGATAAGGGTGACCTGGAGCTCTTCAAAGCACAGCACATTTACTCTGCAAGTTTCTCAGCTGGGGAATTCTTTGCTACAGTATCACAATATAGGGGGAAAGATTGCAATTTGGACCCCTTATAGAGTGGTGAGGTGCAATCTTTTCTCCAGGGATCACATGACATATGGTGGTGTTTCTCTCTCCATGGATTCTCTGCTCCCATGGCTTTATTTCGGGGGGAGAACTGGCCATTGATGCCTAAGGGTGGAGGACAGACTTCTCTGGAAAAACTGGATTCAGAGGGAATCCTTGCCAACTTCACCATAAAGGTGAGGTGCAGGAAAAATCTGTCTGTGGTTCTAGGCTGAAATCAGATTTATGTTACTCCAAGCCTTACTGTGGATTACCCTAAATTCACAACTTTGTTTTTTCTTCCTGTGTCAGTGTCTACTGGAGGACCAAATGCCCCTGATCATGATCTCTCTTCCAACTGGGATTCAAGTTCTATCAGGTATGTAACTTCCTTCTTAGCATCATTTACAATGCCCTCTGTTTTGGGCCACTCTCTGCCTTTTGATTTATCTCTATGCTTGGTCTACTACAAAAAAACTCCCTTAACCTGAGATCCTACAGATGGATGGAGACTACAGCTCCCCCTGCTCCAGGCAGAAGCAGGCAGAATTTCAAGCCCAACCATCTAATTGGTCACTAAGGCTCTCATATATGTTACAAAAAACCTCAAAGTATATTCACAGTGACTTTGATCACTGCACATGACATGAGCCCTGGTACAGTTTAAAAATTGTGTCAATGTGCACTTTTAAAAACTGCTCAAGGGCTTCCTTTTCCAACTGACCAGTGCTGAGGGGCTTCCCAGATACTGAAATCACCAGGGTTGGGGCAACACAAATCCTTAATACACAGCAAAAACAGAGCTGATGGAGTGGCCCTTCAGGCAAGCAGGGCTTCACTGCCTGGCCAGTGCTGGGAGGGGGGGACTTCCCAGCTACTTCAGCACTGGCCAGTTGGGTGACTTGGCTCTTCCCTAAGGGAGCATCACTCAACAGCTTCTTCCTTGCCACATGTCAAGCAGATGAGCTCCTGCCCTAACCCCAGGGCTGCCAGTAGCAGTGGAAAGTCTCTACCTCCAGTGGCAGGGGCTCCAAGTCCTGTTTTAATCTGAGGAGTGGCATCAAAACATGGTGCATGAAACAGGCCTGTTTTATCGGTGTTTGCTCATAATCTGTAGTGAGTGTTTTACTGCAGGTTGTTTGAAACATGTAGTTCCTGCCTTAGTCGAAGGAAGTTGATTTATCAGTAGCTCCCAGAGGATCAGACGTAATATCTACAGTCTATCCCAGTTCTTCTTTAGCATTAGTTTTTGGGAGCACTCAGCTGGGTCAAGGATTACGAGCTCCCACATGGACCTTCTGAGATGCATGTGCCCACAGGCCGCGCCTTTGTCTATTCTGGTCCATGGGTGAGTCTCCTTTTAAGTTAACCTGTCACTCCAGCTTCCACCCAGGAAAACCTGTCGCACCCACTGAGATGCCCAACTAGCTGCATTGTCCCTCCCACTACACGTTTCATAGATATAAGGAAACAGTAGAGTTTGCTGAGGAAAATGAGCTATATCAACATTGTTTACATATCAACAAGAGGTATAAAATAGACATGGTTCCCATCCACGGTCCCATTGTGCACTTTTAAAAACTGCTCAAGGGCTTCCTTTTCCAACTGACCAGTGCTGAGGGGCTTCCCAGATACTGAAATCACCAGGGTTGGGGCAACACAAATCCTTAATACACAGCAAAAACAGAGCTGATGGAGTGGCCCTTCAGGCAAGCAGGGCTTCACTGCCTGGCCAGTGCTGGGAGGGGGGGACTTCCCAGCTACTTCAGCACTGGCCAGTTGGGTGACTTGGCTCTTCCCTAAGGGAGCATCACTCAACAGCTTCTTCCTTGCCACATGTCAAGCAGATGAGCTCCTGCCCTAACCCCAGGGCTGCCAGTAGCAGTGGAAAGTCTCTACCTCCAGTGGCAGGGGCTCCAAGTCCTGTTTTAATCTGAGGAGTGGCATCAAAACATGGTGCATGAAACAGGCCTGTTTTATCGGTGTTTGCTCATAATCTGTAGTGAGTGTTTTACTGCAGGTTGTTTGAAACATGTAGTTCCTGCCTTAGTCGAAGGAAGTTGATTTATCAGTAGCTCCCAGAGGATCAGACGTAATATCTACAGTCTATCCCAGTTCTTCTTTAGCATTAGTTTTTGGGAGCACTCAGCTGGGTCAAGGATTACGAGCTCCCACATGGACCTTCTGAGATGCATGTGCCCACAGGCCGCGCCTTTGTCTATTCTGGTCCATGGGTGAGTCTCCTTTTAAGTTAACCTGTCACTCCAGCTTCCACCCAGGAAAACCTGTCGCACCCACTGAGATGCCCAACTAGCTGCATTGTCCCTCCCACTACACGTTTCATAGATATAAGGAAACAGTAGAGTTTGCTGAGGAAAATGAGCTATATCAACATTGTTTACATATCAACAAGAGGTATAAAATAGACATGGTTCCCATCCACGGTCCCATTTTCTTCCAAGGTCTAGTTGGGCTAATATAATTCTTTATGGATCTTGGCCTTATTCAAGAATACAGCCATTGAGCAGAGGAAGTTTCTTGCACATTCTACAAAAGGGAAGAATAATGAGAGCATGGCACTCTATCCTGTTTGGGGCAGCTCTGCTATTTATCCTGCTCCAGCTTCTGCAAATGGGTTGTGGTCTTATATAGAGATGGTGACGACTCACCATTTTGGTGAGTGGTCCCACTCTCTGAGTCATCAAAATTTGACAACTCGCGAAGCACAAACTTGCCTCCATGAAGCGACGAATAACGAAGTGGGGGGTTATTTAAAAAACACCCTCATCTGCCACCCCCTCCACCCCCACCTCTGCTGGCACCCCCTTTGCAAAGATGGCAGCTGCAGCTTCCCTACCATAAATGAAGCTGCAGCTGCCATCTTTGCAAAGGGCAGACCTACCTACCTACCTACCTACCTACCTACCTACCTACCTACCTACCTACCTACCTAGTCTCCCTCCCCACCCGGGTGCGAGGCAGCACTTCACGGGGCGAGGATGAGGACCCAAGAGACCCTTTCCTTCCACCCGATCCACACTCAGTGCTCCCCTAAAGGAGAAAGGCAAGACGTGGCAGGTAGAAAGAGCTGGATCATCTGGCGGCGGCAGCAGCACCAGATCTACTGCCAGCACTGCAGCTGCAGTCGCCTTCACAGGTTTGGCTCGCTCCAGCGCCCCTTCTTTTCTTTCGCCCCCACACCGCCCCTTTTTGTTCTACCGCCCCCCTGAAAAATGAAATCGCCCCCTGGGGGACATTATTGCCCACGTTAAGAACCACTGAACTAATTGACAGCTGGTAGGCAGAATGGTTTCTGTGTTTTTTTTAATAGGAAGGGTGTGTTGGTGGGGTTGGGGGCTAAGGTAGGGAGAGAAAGGGGGTGTGGGTGTAGGCTGCTGGGGCGTGTGGCTGTGGGGGAAGTGGCTGCCTATGGTCTGCTGAGCGACGGCCAGTAGGCAGATTTTTTTTGTCATGTAAAGGACAAATAAAAATGGGTAAATATTCATCCCTTAATATTTGTGGGGGGGGGTCTCTGGAACCCACGAATATGAAAATATGAAGAGACGAATATTTAACAAATCAGCTATTTTCGTAAAAAGCTGATCCGTTTTTATATTCGTCCTGGGAAAAGCCGATCCGTTTTTATATTCGTCCCCATCTCTAGTCTCATATAAAGTCAGCCCAGTAGATGGCAGCAGAAGTGAGTGGCTTCATGGCTCTTTTCATATTGGTGCTTCTTCCATACAAGTTGCATTCTAAGCTATTGGTCTATCTCAAAAACTACAGTGATCATCATAATTTCATTAAGAAAAGATAAACACCTCTTTTTGATTTCAGTGAACCGGAATTGGGCAAAGGTTAATAGTTCTGTTTGAAGCAGTCAGTGTGAGGACAGTTCAGTTTTTATAAGAGGGACCAGCTACATCAGTGGTTCCCAAACTGCGCACCAGGGTGTTCCAGGGTGCTGCCATACCCAACCAGGGGCACCGCATAATCTGCAGATGGACTACTCGGGCCGGGCTTCCTCCCTCCCTTCTCCCCGCCCCAACGTATCATATTGGGGGATCTTCAGCCAGTGGCCAGTAAATGAGGGAGCTGGAATTTGGAAAAGTTAAGAAAACCAACACCAGACAGACTTTACTGACCAATACTGGCAAGAAGGTACAAATATTCCAAGCATCCACGTGTCCCTTAATTTTTTTCCCCAAAGTTAAACGTAATAGTAATCTAATGATTGACACAACTCCGGGAGGCAGTGGAAGGCATAATCTGCAGAAGTACTACTCGGGCTGGGCTTCCTTCCTTCTCCCCCCCCAAAGTATCATATTGGGGGATCCGCAGCCAGTGGCCAGTAAATAAGGGAGCTGGAAGTTAGAAAAGTTAAGAAAACCAACACCAAACAGTCAGACTTTACTGAGCAGTACTGGCAAGAAGGTACAAATATTCCAAACATCCAATTTCCCCCCAAAGTTAAAAGTAATAGTAGTCTAATGATGCGGCTTGATCCAGGCATGCTAACGCAGTGTCAAATTCTGGATTTCAGTAATGCACTCTTTGCTTCCATCTCTTGATAGAGGATTTTCTTATGTTTGCTGCATTACATTCTCCCAGCACTAACTAAACAACGAACGAATCTAATGATGCAGCTTGATCCAAGCATGCTAATGTAGTGTCGAATGCTGGATTTCAGTAATGCACTCTTTGCTTCCATCTCTTGATAGAGGATTTTCTTATGTTTGCTGCATTACATTCTCCCAGCACTAACTGTGAAACAGTCTTTCTGTAGCAATGAGAAAGAACTCCCTGCTGTTACCTCTGATCACTGGCGATCAGAGACAGTATAAGGGGTTCTTCTCCCAGCATGACAGAAAGGAATCCTCTCTTCAGCATCGGAATCCATAAACTCCAATCCATAATCAAAGATAAGAATGGGTTTTAATCTTCAACCTCTAGAGAAAGACTGTTTTTCTATCATGCTTGGAGAATGGAAGTGCCTGGGAGGGGAATTTCTGTGGACCAGATGTGTGACACCGTTGGGCCAAATTCAATCCACAGACTACAGGTTCCCCATCACTGCTTTAGAATCAGGTCATAACTTGAAGTTTAGATTCATGGTATCATATTTCTGTTGCCAACATGAAAACTTTTAGTTCACACTGGCACTTACATCATCTGATCACCAGGAAAAAAAGGAGAACCAGACCATCCCTACAGTGAACCAAACAGTGGGACAAATGGCCATGTAGTCCCTCTTAGTTTGAGACTTCAGAATTCAGTACACCTATTAGTAACTTCAATTGTCATCCGAAAGAAATAATGTATGAATTCACCTGCTAGGAGGGAAGTATCTTAGATGTGCAATTTCCAGTCTCCGTGTAACAAGTGGTAGCAAACATCTTCTGGAATGTTTAGTGATGGGAATAGATCCATCTTCTGGAGGCAGCAGGCGATGGTCCAGAGCTATTCATATAAAGATCACATTAAGGATCTGGCCATAATGAGGATGCTAGAAATGAAGGTGGGGCCAATTAGCAGTTAGTAACAGATCACCTGTTTGTCCATTTGCGAGAATACCATCTAATGGTGAATGATAATCAGTCATTTTAGATCAGTTCACATAAAGGATCTGGCCACAATGAGGATGGTAGAAATTAAGGTGGGGGCAATTAGCAGTTAGTAACAGATCGCCTGTTTGTCCATTTGCAAGAATACCATCTAATGGCGAATGATAATCAGTCATTTTAGATCATTAAAAAGATCACATTAAGGATCTGGCCATAATGAGGATGCTAGAAATGAAGGTGGGGCCAATTAGCAGTTAGTAACAGATCACCTGTTTGTCCATTTGCGAGAATACCATCTAATGGTGAATGATAATCAGTCATTTTAGATCATTAAGCCATCGTGTGAGAAATAAAGGTCCCAGACCGATTGCTATTCCTCTGCGGGCCAAGTATTGGAGTGAGTAGCAATTCACAGATGGTTTTAATTTAAGAGTGTTGTAACGATCAACAAATCTTCCTTATTACAAAATTGTGAGAAACAGCATTGTCATCTCTTACTGTATTTTTTAAAAATATTTATACAGATATCTGATTTATGTGTCCTTCCTGATATTGATTGGCTTGAAAACATCCCTGCTGCTGCTTCTGGTCTTTGCTATCAGCTGGATGTATATACGGACTCAACAGTCTTCTGCTGAGTAGCTTCAGAGATGCCATTAAGGCAGCTTGAACAATCACCTTTTCTCTCTGGACAATGAACCTAAATCAAGAAGGTGTAAGATTTAAGAAGGAAGACAAGTTCCTCTTTCCTTGACTCCTGGTTGAAGAAAAAGAAGAAAAAGAGGAGGAGGAGGAAGAACAAGAACAATACTGGTAGAAGCAGCAGTTTGGCAATGCCTGTATTAAGGCAGACCCAAATGTCACAAAGGTTGTGCGAGCTTTTGAGCTCTCTGGAACTCTGCATCAGTCTAAACAGCACAGAAAGCAGAGAATGGAGGAAGGGCGAAAATATAAAACTAGCCCAAATATTATGGCAAAGCCTGTGAAATGTAGTTTAGACTCAGGGTGAGTCCGGATGGCATTATACCCCATTGTTTAATCCAGAGTTTGCAAGGCTGAAATCAATTCATTCTTCTACAACTACTGGACTTTCAGCTAATTGCACAGAACCCCACACTTTTTCTGGTGTCATCCATTTCTTTTTGAAAAGTTAGAAGGGTATGTATTCATTTTGTACCAACTCCCCTTGCATGGTTCTTTTCCCTTATCTGGTATACATGATCATCTACATTGATCCAAAAAAGGATCCACTGTAGGCATATCCTTGGAATGGTGATGTTGACCCAGATGTCTTAAGTGGGATGCAGCATGCTATTACAGCTTTGCAATCTCCCTCAGAATGTCTGTTTTTCTTCCAGACATTGTTTTCCTTTCTTCATTGGCCTCTTCAGCTTAGTTCTGTGGCAGGGGATGGCTGTGGCAGAGCTGCCTTGCTTGATTGCTTTCCTCGGTCATTTCTTGATCAGATCTTTCATTGGGACAATGAAAGGTTCTTAACCTTGGGTTACTCAGGAGTTTTGGACTGCAACTCCCAGAAGCCTTTGATGGCTGTGGCAGAGCTGCCTTGCTTGGTTGCTTTCCTCGGCCATTTCTGGACCAGATCTTTCATTGGGACAATTAGTCCTCTAACCACACTTACTTTCCTATCTCATTTTTTTCTCCTTGTGCTTTTAACAGCTGTACAGTATGCTGTTAAGACTTTTTAGACTAGCGCTATGCCAGGTCAAAAAGTTCAAACTGCTGAAAACTAAATGTTATGTGTCTCTATAAAATGGAGGAAAGAAGGAATTGGAGAGGGATGTGGTGTGATCCCACTGGGGAAGCGTACTATGGACTTTCGCAACACAATCATTTCTGTTATTAGCATGAACTATGATGACAATTTCTTTTTTATTTTTTAATTTTATTAATACTATACAGTAAAATAAAGTACATACCAAAACAATAAAGAGGGAAAAAAAGAAAAATACACATGAATTACATAATTACTGAACAAACATAACTATAGTAAGTCCAGCCACCACTGGGACCAATACAGACACATTACATGTCTCTGTTACAATCTTCTAGACACGTTCCCTTCACCATACAATGTTTATCATGCCCATGTCCCTTCCAAAAATGTCATGATCTTTTGTTTGGGTAATTGGCCTTCCCCTTTCAGTAACACAACATCCAAAAAATCTTGCCAGGTAAGAATAAAATTATCCTCCTTTAACAATCTCTCTTTTTTTATTATTTTAATGTTGCACGTCAACTTATCATTGATTACTAAATGTCAAAATTTATTAAACCATTCACTTATTTGAAATACATGATTAGTTTTCCAATATTTTGCATTCACTATTCTAGCAGCAGCATTGCTCCAGGAGTACCCATGTCTCCTGGATGCCTATGCCCCACTCGGGCTTGACGTGGCTGCCCAGGCCGAGGGCATCACACACCACAAGGTGTAATTTGTGCACCATGCATACGATGCCCTCAAAGCCCACCAGGTTCAATGCCGCCAACATGTTCCGCCCAGCATCGGTGACCATGTGACCACAGGTCACCTCTCCCTCTAGTGCCCACTCCTGCAGCATGGACAGGAACTCATCGGCAATGTTCCTCCCTGTCGCCTGAGCTTCCATGTGCCCCGCCTGCAGCACAATGGACCTGTAGCCTGGGGGCAGGGCAAGGACCTCCCCCTGCGGCCCTGTCACCGATGCCCTGCCACTACTCCTCTGGCTGCCACCAGTGGGCTGCGAGCGAGAGGTAGCTGTTCTGACCTCCACTCCACAGGTCTGCTGTGAAGTGCACCTTGTGCCCCGGTAGCCATGAAAAATGGTCATGGACCACTTCCCTCACAGAGTCATAGAGCGAGGGGAGCACTCTAGAACTGAGAGTTCTCCGTGAGGGGACAAAAAAATGCAGCAACCAGTGGAAGGCTTGGGATTCCACGATAGACAGTGGAAGTCCAAGCAGGGCAATTGTCTTCGTGACGAGATAAGTGGCCACCTGCTGGGCCTTGCCCTTCGGCCTCCAGCTGAGGCTCATGGTAGACCCAATGGGTGCCACTTCATAGAGCATGGCCTGCCTCATGCTCCCAGCGCCAGAAACCCCTGCACTTTTGAAAGGAGCTGCCTCCTTCTGCCTCCCCTGGAGCTGCTCTTTTCCCTCTCCCAGACGGCGTGGATGAAGTGCCTTCCCTGGACAGGAGCCTTGGGTGGTGCCTCTCCAGATGTTGGCAGAGGGCAGTGGAGGACAGATGCATGGGGTCTGAAGCCCTCCGAACCACCCCAAGGCAGGTATTGCAGCGTGCCAGCCGTGGATCATCGCTGAGCACCATGAAATGATCCCACATGGCCCCTCTGCCTTGTTTGCCCAAACGAGGACCCACTGCCTGCCCCGGACTGCTGGCCTGGGAAGAACTCTGTCTCCCAGGGGTGCTGTTGGTCTGGGAGGAGGGAATAGATGACTCTGGGGATGGGGGGGCCTGTGATGCCTGCCCTGGCATTACTGGTTCCAAATCAGACTGGGGTCTTGGGAAACCAGTAACTCCTCAGATTCCTCTAGGAAGAGGAGCGGCAGGTCTTTTGGCACCTCTGGAAGCTTTGGTTCCCTGACTGCCTGCAAGGCCACCAAGGGAGGGACAGTGGCACTGGTTATCACAGACGTGATTGTGCACGTGGTGGTCATGATGATGGTGCTGCTACCTAGTTTGCATAGCTTCACAGCCTTCTTCCCAACACTCAGATCAGGGCTTCCCATTTACTGTGGGATGGACACAATACAATTGTAGTAGCAAAATCATCATTATTGATGTACAAAGGAGGACTCCATGAAATGTTGCCAGCATCAGTTTCAGAGGGTCCAAGCAGATTCAGAAAATGGATTGGCCAGACCAGACAAAACAAAACACCTTCAATCAAAATTAGAGAAAGACAGCCTTTGACTGTGTGGACCACAGCAAACTATGGCAAGTCCTTAAAGAAATGGGAGTGCCTGATCACCTTATCTATCTCCTGAGAAACCTATACGTGGGACAGGAAGCAACAGTTAGAACTGGATATGGAACAACTGATTGGTTCAAAATTGGGAAAGGAGTACGACAAGGCTATATATTGTCTCCCTGCTTATTTAATTTATATGCAGAATACATCCTGCGAAAGGCAGGACTGGATGAATCCCAAGCCGGAATTAAGACTGTCGGAAGAAATATTAACAACCTCCGATATGCAGATGATACCACTCTGGTGGCAGAAAGTGAAGAGGAATTAAGGAACCTTGTAATGAGGGTGAAAGA